GTGGTGCGAGTACTGCAGTGGAGGGGGAGAGGGGGGGGGGAGGGAGAGAGAGAGAGGGAAGGAGAGACGTTAAGACGTGTCCAAGAACTAGTTGAATGGGAAAACAATAATTAAGCGACAGTGCTGATTCGATTCAAACCGTTTTGCTTCGAATTATTTTTCTTCCCACAATTCTTGCGTTAATAGGCAATTTGTTGGTTTTTCGCAGCGGAGGACGAGGCTCCCCGCAGCGCCGTCCAAACTGACAATCAGCACCAAAATTACTGCCGCGCCCCACGGCTCTATGTCATTCCCCCGTCACAGTGCGACGGTGGGGCTCTCGCCAGGCTCCGGCGTTGAGGTCTCCAAGAGTGCACGAGGGACGTCACACGCCTGCGGGTGAGCGAATGAGCATTTACGCTCTTCCAGGTGTGCTTTATAAAATGTGGCTGCTCATTTTTTCAAGAATGTGCACGGCCGTTCGCTCACCCGCAGCTGGAGTGTGAATAAGTCGAAATAAGTTATCATAGCTCTACAGTGCAGGAGGGTGAATAATTCAAACCAAGTTGTCACACACTTACAGTTGATTTTTCACACACCTTCCAGGTATAGGTATGCGACAGTCGTGCGCGCGGACTACCAGTGTCTTTCCTCCGTGTCCTGTAACGCTACCGCCCCGCCCCGCCTCGCCCCGCAGTGTGTCCTGCCGACCGCCCGTCCGTCCGAAAGGTCAACGTCACCTTGCGACCGGAGTGCTTTATTAGATTTGCCCTGACTAATGAAAGTGTCCGACCAGCCGAGTGGCAAACACTGGGAGCGTTTTGAACGGCTAATGAGCGGATATAAACAAAAGGCCGCCGACATGACGGCTGCATGCAGAGCTACGCGGCGCCACGCCACTGCAGTGGGCAGCATGCGTCATCTGTGGTTTGGAAAGGGCGTCATTTATTTTTTGTCGATTGAACAGTAGTAAAAAATAAGTATGCTGTAGTCAATCTTTAAAAATCTTTTTGGAGCATGAGTATCTCGTAGTAGCCCGAATAGAGGGAAAAATGATCTTAATTCGTCCCTTTGCCCTCGACGACTTTGTCCGCTGTTGCGCGCGACCGTGACGGCGGCCCAACCCCCCGTCGCCCTCGCCGCACTCGTCGTAAATTTAAGTTTAGATCGCGGTGCCCGATTCTCTCCTTCTCTCTCTCCCGCGGGTGGTGGTGTCGCCCTGCCCGCCACAACAATGCAGGCCCATTAGCACGAGTGTCACTCCCTCGTGACACTCTGTACTTCCAAATAATGCGCCGCCTGACCTCCCGATGGGAAGTGGAGATTGTGTTGTGGAGGCGAAACGAAACTAGCGCCCCGCTGCCGCGTTCACTCCATTCCACGCGCCCGCCGGTCTGTACTGCTCTGCCCTAGGACGCCCGGCGGGGTAGGCAACCCGGGTGGAGCGAGCGCACAGCTGCGTGACGGGGCGGCCCGCCCAGCAGGCGCTCGGCTCGCGGGGAGTAAGCACAGAGAAAGAGCAAGCCCGTCAATCTTCTTCCGATGAGTTCGGTTGCTCTGTCGCACGGACGGACGCTCTGCGTGTGAAGGAGAGAGAAAAAGAAAGAGGGAGGGAGGGAGAGGGAGAGAGAGCCCTTACAAAAATAATCAGTACCCAAACAGTCCCCAAACAGGGA